CGAGGGTGCTTTTTGGGGGGGTGATTTTTGAGGGTGATTTTTAGGGGGTGATTTTTTGGGGGTGATTTGGGGGATGATTTTTGTGGGGATGATTTTTGTGGGGTGATTTTTAGGGGGTGATTTTTGGGGTAATTTTTGGGGGTGATTTTTGGGGGTGATTTTTGAGGGTGATTTTTGGGGGTGATTTTTGAGGGGTGATTTTTGAGGGGTGATTTTTGGGGGTGATTTTTGGGGGTAATTTTGTTGGGGGTGATTTTTGTGGGGTGATTTTTGGGGAGTGATTTTTGTGAGAGTGATTTTTGGGGGGTGATTTTGGGGGTGATTTTTGAGGGTGATTTTTGAGGGGGTGATTTTTGAGGGGTGATTTTTGAGGGTGATTTTTGGGGGTTGATTTTTGGGGGTGATTTTTGGGGGTGATTTTTAAGGGTAATTTTTGGGGGTGATTTTTGTGGGTGACTTTAGGGGTGATTTTGGAGGAGTGATTTTGGGGGTGATTTTTGGGGGTGATTTTTGGGGGGTGATTTTTGAGGGGTGATTTTTTGGGGTAATTTTTGGGGGGGTGATTTTTGGGGGGTGATTTTTGTGGGTGATTTTTGGGGGGTGATTTTTGGGGGTGATTTTTAGGGCGGTGATTTTTGGGGGGTGATTTTTGAGGGTAATTTTTGGGGGGGTGATTTTTGGGGATGATTTTGGGGGGTGATTTTTTGGGGTTGATTTTTGTGGATGATTTTTGAGGGGTAATTTTTGGGGGGTAATTTTTAGGGGGTGACACCCACGACCATCTTTCCGGCCCCCAAAATCCCAGCCCTCAGAGCGGGAATTCCGTGGGGGAGGCAATTCCAGGGCCCCAAATTCCCGTTTTCCCCCTGGCAGAGATCAACGACCGGGAGCAGAAGCTGCAGGCGCTGCGGGAGGTGCTCAGGAAGTTCCCCAGGGAGAACTACGAGGTCTTCAAATACGTCATCGGACACCTCCACAAGTGGGTCTGGGGGGGCCTGGGGGCACCCCAAAAACCTGGGCGGGGCTCTGGGGGCACCCCAAAAACATGGGGGAACCCCAAAAACCTGGGGGCACCCCAAAAACCTGGGGAAGGCTCTGGGGGAACCCTAAAAACCTGGGGGCACCCCAAACACCTGGGGAGGGCTCTGGGGGAACCCCAAAAACATGGGGGAATCCCAAAAACCTGGAGGAACCCCAAAAACCTGGGGAGGGCTTTGGGTACACCCCAGAAACCTGGGGGAACCCCAAAAACCTGGGCAGACCTCTGGAGGCACCCCAAAAACCTGGGGGAACCCCAAAAACCTGGGAAGGGCTTTGGGGAACCCCAGTACCCATTGTCACTGTGGGAATCCCAAAACTTGGGAAGGGCCTTGAACTCGCCCATTGTCCTGTCCCTGTGTCCCCATTGTCCCCCTGTCCCCATTGTCCCCATGTCCTTGTCCTTGTCCCCAGGGTGAGCCACAACCACCGAGTGAACCTGATGACCAGCGAGAACCTGTCCATTGTCCCCCTGTCCCCATTGTCACCATTGTCCCCCTGTCCCTGTCCCCATTGTCACCCTGTCCATTGTCCCCATTGTCCCCTGTCCTCACTGTCCCCTGTCCTTGTCCCCAGGGTGAGCCACAACCACCGTGTGAACCTGATGACGAGCGAGAACCTGTCCATTGTCCCTCTGTCCCTGTCCCCATTGTCCCCCTGTCCCTGTCCCCCCAGGGTGAGCCACAACCACCGTGTGAACCTGATGATGAGCGAGAACTTGTCCCATTGTCCCCATGTCCCCATTGTCCCCCTGTCCCTGTCCCCATTGTCCCCCTGTCCCTGTCCCCATTGTCACCATGTCCCTGTCCCTGTCCCCATTGTCCCCCTGTCCCTATTGTCCCCCTGTCCCTGTCACCATGTCCCCCTGTCCTTGTCCCCATTGTCCCCCTGTCCCTGTCCCCATTGTCACCATGTCCCTGTACTTGTCGCCATTGTCACCATGTCCCCATCTGTCCCCCTGTCCATTGTCACCATTGTCCCCTGTCCCTGTCCCCATTGTCCCCTGTCCCCATTGTCCATGTCCTGTCCTTGTCCCCAGGGTGAGCCACAACCACGAGTGAACCTGATGACGAGCGAGAACCTGTCCATTGTCCCCCATGTCCCCACTGTCCCTGTCCCCATTGTCCCTGTCCCTGTCCCCACTGTCCCTGTCCCCATTGTCACCATGTCCTTGTCCCAGGGTGAGCCACAACCACCGTGTGAACCTGATGCGGCGAGACCTGTCCATTGTCCTGCCCCTGTCCCTGTCCCCATTGTCCCCTGTCCTGTCCCCATTGTCCCCTGTCCCTGTCCCCATTGTCCCCTGTCCTCACTGTCCCCTGTCCTTGTCCCCAGGGTGAGCCACAACCACCGAGTGAACCTGATGACCAGCGAGAACCTGTCCATTGTCCCTCTGTCCCTGTCCCCATTGTCCCCCTGTCCCTGTCCCCCCAGGGTGAGCCACAACCACCGGGTGAACCTGATGACCAGCGAGAACCTGTCCATTGTCCCCCTGTCCCCATTGTCACCCTGTCCCTATTGTCACCATGTCCCTGTCCTTGTCCCCAGGGTGAGCCACAACCACCAGGTGAACCTGATGACGACAGAACTTGTCCATTGTCCCATGTCCATTCCCTGTCCTGTCCCATTGTCCCCATTGTCCCCCTGTCCCCGTCCCCATTGTCACCATGTTCCTGTCCTTGTCCCCAGGGTGAGCCACAACCACCATGTGAACCTGATGACGAGTGAGAACCTGTCCATTGTCCCCATGTCCCTGTCCCCATTGTGTCCCTGTCCCTGTCCCCATTGTCACCATGTCCCTGTTTCCCCCCCAGGGTGAGCCACAACCACCGTGTGAACCTGATGACGAGCGAGAACCTGTCCATTGTCCCCATTGTCCCCCTGTCCCTGTCCCCATTGTCCCCATGTCCTCACTGTCCCCCTGTCCCTGTCCCCATTGTCACCATGTTCCTGTCCCCATTGTCACCGTGTCCCTGTCTCTGTCCCCATTGTCACCATGTCCCTGTCCTTGTCCCCAGGGTGAGCCACAACCACCGTGTGAACCTGATGACGAGCGAGAACCTGTCCATTGTCCCCATGTCCCTGTCCCCATTGTCCCCTGTCCCTGTCCCCATTGTCCCCCTGTCCCTGTCCCCATTGTCACCATGTCTCTGTCCCCATTGTCACCATGTCCCTGTCCCCATTGTCACCATGTCTCTGTCCCCATTGTCACCATGTCCCTGTCCTTGTCCCCAGGGTGAGCCACAACCACCGGGTGAACCTGATGACCAGCGAGAACCTGTCCATTGTCCCCCTGTCCCCCTGTCCTCACTGTTCCCCTGTCCTTGTCCCCAGGGTGAGCCACAACCACCGTGTGAACCTGATGACCAGCGAGAACCTGTCCATTGTCCCCCTGTCCCCATTGTCACCATGTCCCTGTCCCCATTGTCACCCTGTCCATTGTCCCCATTGTCACCATGTCCCCGTCTTCACTGTTCCCCTGTCCCCATTGTCACCATGTCCCTGTCCCTGTCCCCATTGTCACCATGTCCCTGTCCCCATTGTCACCATGTCCCTGTTTGCCCCCCAGGGTGAGCCACAACCACCGGGTGAACCTGATGACGAGCGAGAACCTGTCCATTGTCCCCCTGTCCCTGTCCCCATTGTCCCCCTGTCCCCGTCCCCATTGTCCCCTGTCCCCATTGTCCCCCTGTCCCTGTCCCCATTGTCACCCTGTCCCTGTCCCCATTGTCCCCATTGTCCCCTGTCCTCACTGTCCCCTGTCCTTGTCCCCAGGGTGAGCCACAACCACCGTGTGAACCTGATGACGAGCGAGAACCTGTCCATTGTCCCTCTGTCCCCATTGTCCCCCTGTCCTCACTGTCCCCTGTCCTTGTCCCCAGGGTGAGCCACAACCACCGAGTGAACCTGATGACGAGCGAGAACCTGTCCATTGTCCCCCTGTCCCCATTGTCACCATGTCCCTGTCCCTGTCCCCATTGTCACCATGTCCCCATTGTCACCATGTCCCTGTTTGCCCCCCAGGGTGAGCCACAACCACCGTGTGAACCTGATGACGAGCGAGAACCTGTCCATCTGCTTCTGGCCGACGCTGATGCGGCCGGACTTCAGCACGATGGACGCGCTGACGGCCACCAGGACCTACCAGACAATCATCGAACTCTTCATCCAGCAGTGCCCCTTCTTTTTCTACAACCGGCCCCCTCGAGCCCCCCGGCCCCGCCGCCGCCGGCCCCCCCCCAGCTCGCCCTCCTCCTCCTCCTCCTCCGTGCCCCCCTCGTCACCACCGCTGTCACCACCTCTGTCCCCACCCCTTCCCCGCCCCGGCGCCGCCCTCGCCCCCGGACCCCCTCCGTCGCCGCAGTCGCCCGTCCAGCCCCTGGAGCCGCCGTCGCTCTGAGCGACCTCCCCCTCTCTGCACCCCCCAAAAACACAAAAACTGGAGCTGAGCCCCCACCCACCCCACACACCACCCAGCACCGCCCCACGCCGGCCTGGGGGCTCTCGGACACCCCCACACCCACCCTGGACGCCCACCCTGCAGACTTTGTGGCTTGGACACCCACGCCCCCACCCTGGGGTGGGGCCAGGGGTGGGGCTGGAATGGGGTGGGAGGCTGGGGGTTGGGGACACGGCCAGGGGGGGACGGGGCTTGGCCAGTGGGACCTGAGGCACGGCCAGCGTGGGCTGGGGGGGCCCCAGCCTTGGCCAGGGTGGCCCCAGGCGCGGCCAGCGGGACCTGAAGCGAGGCCAGGGTGGGCCAAGGCTTGGCCAGGGTGGGCCAAGACTTGGCCAGGGTGGCCCCAGACTTGGCCAGTGGGACCTGAAGCAAGGCCAGGGTGGTCTGGGGTGGTCCAAGACTTGTCCAGGGTGGGCCAGGGTGGTCCAGGACTTGGCCAGGGTGGGCCAGGGCTTGGCCAGTGGGACCTGGAGGCTCATGTGGTGGGACCTGAGGCACGTCCAGCACGGCCCAGAGTGGCCCAAAGTTTCTCCAGTGGGACCTGAGGCACATCCAGAGTGGTCCAGTGTGGCCCAAGGATTATCCAGGGGGACCTGAGGCACATCCAGCGCGATCCAGAGTGGCCCAAGGCTCATCCAGGGGGACCTGAGGCACGTCCAGAGTGGTCCAGTGTGGCCCAAAGTTTCTCCAGTGGGACCTGAGGCACATCCAGCGCAATCCAGAGTGGCCCAAGGATTATCCAGGGGGACCTGAGGCACATCCAGCGCAATCCAGAGTGGCCCAAGGATTATCCAGTGGGACCTGAGGCACATCCAGCACGATCCAGAGTGGCCCAAAGTTTCTCCAGTGGGACCTGAGGCATGTCCAATGAGATCCAGAGTGGCCCAAGGATTATCCAGGGGGACCTGAGGAACATCCAGCGCGATCCAGAGTGGTCCAGCGTGGCCCAAGGATTATCCAGGGGGACCTGAGGAACATCCAGCGCGATCCAGAGTGGTCCAGCGTGGCCCAAGGATTATCCAGGGGGACCTGAGGCACGTCCAGCACAATCCAGAGTGGCCCAAACCTTGGCCAGGGTGGCCCAAGGCTCGTCCAGTGGGACTTGAGGAACATCCAGCATGGTCCAGAGTCACCCAAGGCTTGTCCAGCACATCCCAGCACTCATCCCAGATGTCCTGACGCTCATCCAGGATGTCCTGACGCTCATCCAGACAACCTGAGGCTCATCCAGGAGATCCCAGCGCTCATCCAGCACATCCCAACACTAATCCAGGATGTCCTGAGGCTCATCCAGCACATCCCAACACTAATCCAGGATGTCCCAAGGCTCCTCCAGGAGATCCCAGCGCTCATCCCAGACGCCCTGAGGCTCATCCAGGAGATCCCAACACTAATCCAGGACGTCCTGAGGCTGTTTCAGCTGCCCAAGGTCATCTCAGGGCCTTGAGGTTCATGGCAACAGATCTCAACATTGTACCCAGGACGTCCCGAGGCTCATTCAGAGATCCCAGCGCCATTCATCCAGGAATTCCTGAGGCTCATCCAACAGATCCCAACACTAAATCCAGGACGTCCTGAGGCTCATCCAGGAGATCCCAGCGCTCATCCAGACAACCTGAGGCTCATCCAGGAGATCCCAACACTAATCCAGGACGTCCTGAGGCTCATCCAGGAGGTCCCAGCACTCATCCAGGAGATCCCAGCACTCATCCAGGAGATCCCAGCACTCATCCAGGAGATCCCAACGCTCATCCAGGAGATCCCAGTGCTCATCCAGGACGTCCTGAGGCTCATCCAGGAGGTCCCAACACTCATCCAGGAGATCCCAACGCTCATCCAGGAGATCCCAACGCTCATCCAGGAGATCCCAGCGCTCATCCAGCAGATCCCAGTGCTCATCCAGGACGTCCTGAGGCTCATCCAGGAGATCCCCACACTCATCCAGGAGATCCCAGCACTCATCCCAGATGTCCCGAGGCTCATCCCACCATCCCAAGACTCCTCGGAGACGCCCCCAGGCTCATCCCAACCCCCTGGGATGGATCCCAGGACCTCCCTGCCCTCCCACCCCTTTTTTTTGGGGGTGCCTGATGTTGCCTTTGGGACACCCTCCTCCCTCCCCCAAAATTCCTGCCCCTCTCCCGGGATTTTGGCTTGGAGCACTTAGGGAGGGAGGGGTTGGAGGTCTCCCCCAAATTTGGGCTGGATTTGGGGGGTTTCTCATGGAAAACTGGTGCTGATTTGGGGTCAGGATGAGGATTTGGGGGAGGGGTGGAATTTGGGGGAGAGGAAGGCTCAGACACCTGGATCCCCCTGGAAAATGGGGAGGGGCCTGGACCCCCATCATCATCACCCCCCCTCCTTCCTCCCCTCCCAGTACCGGACTGGTTTCAAACTGGATTTTATGGTACCACTGGGAGGCTCCCGCCCCCCTCCTGGGTCTCTTCGCACTTTAAGACGCCCCAATTCCCCCACCCGGTGACAAAAACAGCTCAACCCCTCCCCAAAAACCCCCCCTTCCTCCTCTGACCCACAAAAACCCCCCCCAAAAAAGGGCTTTTTTTTTCACCCTCCAGTTTTTCTGGCACCAAATCCCGATTTTTTCTGCCGGTTTTGGGGGGTTTTGAAATAAAAACCAGCCCCAAAAAAACCCACCCAAAAATACTTGGGGGGGGGGAAACAACTCACTTTCCACCCCCATTTTTCCCACCAAAAAAGGGGGAATTTGGAGCCTTTTGGGAAGGTTTTTTTTTTTTTTTTTTGGTGCTGGGGGGATGTTAAAAAAAAACCAACAAAAAAAAGGCCAAATGGGGCAAAACTGGGCTCGGGGTCGGAGGCGTCGCTGCTTTTTTCCCCCCCAAAAATGGGGTAAAAACACTACATTTGGAACCATTTCCCCCTTTCCTGTCACATTCCGGTTTTGGGCCACAATTACCGAGTTTGGGGATTTTTCCCTCCCCCTCTCTCTTTTTCCCTGTTTGTTTTTTTTTTTTTTTTTTTTCTCCCCTTTTCGGTTTTTCCTCCCTCTTTTTTTTTTTTTTTTTTTTTTGGTTGTTTTCTTGTGTTTTTTTGTTGTTGTTTTGGGATAACCTTAGGAAAAAAAAAAAAGAAAAAAAAGTCGGATGGGAAGAAAAAAAAAAATAGGATTTTAAAAAAGCCGCCGTTTTTAAGTTATTGTTTAAATAATAATTAAAAAAAAAATGCAATTCCCCTCCCTCCCCTTCATCCCTTCCCCCCACCATCCCACCTTAAAACACGACAAGAATAAAAATTCCTTCTGGACGCGATTCTGCCACCAAATCCCGGGATTTGGGGACTCCCGGGGGGGGTTTTAGGGCCGGAATTTCCCCCCCCCCAAAAAAACAAAGCGCTGGAGATCGAGAGACGTTTTTTTGTTGCCTTTTCTGCTTCTTTCAAGGACGTTTTTTTCCCGCTTTTGTGGGAATTTTGGGGGCCGATTTTAGTGCATGAAACCCCCCCTCGCACCCCCCCCCTCAAAGCAAGGCCGGGGGGGATGGGGGGGGCCCATCCCGATCCCGGTGGATCCCCAGGGATGATCCCGAGGGATCCCGAGCCCGGCGGAGAACTCGGAAGGAAGAGAAGAGAAAGAAAAATAATAATAATAAAGAGGAGGCGGCTGCTGAGTCCTGATTGGGGGGGGGAATGGGATTTGAGGGGGGGAAATGGGATTTTGGGGGAAAACTGGGATTTGGGGGAAATGGGATTTGGGGAAAACTGGGATTTGGGGGCAGAAACTGGGATTTGAAGGGGGGAACTGGGATTTGGGATGGGGAACTGGGATTTGGGGAACTGGGGTTTGGGAAACTGGGATTTGGGGAAGTGGGATTTGGGAAACTGGGATTTGAGGGGGGAACTGGGATTTGGGGGGGAACTGGGATTTGGGGAAACAAACGGGTTTGGGGGAGGGAAACTGGGATTTGGGGAAGTGGGATTTAGGGGGGGAACTGGGATTTGGAGGGGGAATGGGATTTGGGGAAACAAACTGGGATTTGGGGGGGGAAATGGGATTTGGGGGACGTGGGATTTGGTGGGGGAAACTGGGATTTTGGGGGGAAAACTGGGATTTGGGGGAAGTGGGATTTGGGAGGAGGAACTGGGATTTGAGGGGGAAATGGGATTTGGGAGGGGGAATGGGATTTGGGGAGGGGAACTGGGATTTGGGGGGGAAATGGATTGAGGAAACTGGGATTTGGGGGGGGAAGTGGGATTTGGGAAACGGGTTTGGGGGGAAACTGGGATTTGGGGAAACAAACTGGGATTTGGGGAGGGGAACTGGGATTTAGGGGGGAAATGGGATTTAGGGGGTACTGGGATTGGGGAGGGAAACGGGATTTGGGGAAACAAACTGGGATTTGGGGGGAACAAACTGGGATTTGGGGAGGGGAACTGGGATTTGGGGGGAAACTGGGATTTGGAGGGGAATGGGATTTGGGGGAAAACTGGGATTGGGGGAAATGGGATTTGGGGAAAGTGGGATTTGGAGGGGAATGGGATTGGGGAAATGGGATTTGAGGGGGAAATGGGATTTGGGGAGAACTGGGATTTGGGGAGAACTGGGATTTGGGGAGGGAAACTGGGATTTGCGCACTAGGAACTGGGATTTGGGGAAATGGGATTTGGGGAGGGGAAACTGGGATTGGGAAATGGGATTGGGGAAATGGGATTTGGGCACCAGGAACTGGGATTTGGGGGAAATGGGATTTGGGGGAACTGGGGTTTGGGGGAACTGGGGTTTGGGGAAACGGGATTTGGGGAGGGGGAATGGGATTTGGGGGGAACTGGGATTTGGGGACAGAAACGGATTGGGGGGAACTGGGATTTGGGGGGGGAAATGGGATTTAGGGGGGGAAACTGGGATTTGGAGGGGGAATGGGATTTGGGGGGTGGACTGGGATTTAGGTGGGAAAAGCAGGAATTGGGCACTGGAAATTGGGAGGAAAGTGGGAGTTGGGAATTGGGAGGAAAGTGGGAAGTGGGAATTGGGAACTGGAAACTGGGAGGAAAGTGGGAATTGGGCACTGGAAACTGGGAGGTGGGAATTGGGAGGAAAGTGGGAGGTAGGAACTGGGATTTGGGGCAGGGAAAGTGGGAATTGGGCCCTGGAAACTGGGAGCAAACTGGGAATTGGGCCCTGGAAACTGGGAGCAAACTGGGAATTGGGCACTGCAAACTGGGACCGCTCAGTTTTGGGCTTAATCCCTGGGAATTTGGGCAAATCCACTGGGAATTGGGTTCCCTGTGAATGAACTGGGCACAAACTGGAGCTTTTTGGTTTCCACCTTTTTTATTCCCTTCCCAGCCCTTTTTCCCGGCACCTCCTGAGGCCCAAAATGCCCCTTTTCCAGCTCAGGGCCCCAAAAATGGGTTTATTTTTTGAGTCAAACTCCCCAAGTGGGGCCCAATTTCGCCCCAAATTCCCCCCTTTTATTTTTTTTTTATCCCAGCAGGGAATAAATAAAACCAGCCAAAATTGGGAGATTTTTGGGGGGGGAAAGGGGCTAAAATTGGGATTTTCTCCAAGCCCTCGGGGTGTTTTGGATCCCAGGGAGGGGATTTGTCCTCCTGGGGGGGAGGGATTTAATCTTTGTGGGAGGGGGTTTATTCCACTTGGAGTGGGTTTAGTACCCCCAGGGTGGGTTTAATTCCCCTTAGGGGTGGTTTAGTCCTCCTTAGGATGGGTTTAATTCCCCTTGGGGTGGGTTTAGTCCCCCACAAGGAAGGTTTTAACACCCCCAGGGTGGGTTTAACTCCCCCCTGGGATGGATTTAATACCCCTGGGATGGCTTTAATTCATCCCAGGGTGGGTTTAGTCCCCCTTAGGGGGGTTTATTCCCCTCCTGGATGGGTTTAATTCCCCTTGGGGTGGGTTTAGTCCCCCCAGGGTGGGTTTAATTCCCCTTAGGGTGGGTTTAACCCCCTTGGGGTGGATTCAATCCCCCCCAGGGTGTGTTTAACCCCCCCCAGAGTGGATTTAGTCCCCCCCCAGGGAGACCCCAATCCCCTTGGGGTACATCCAACCCCCCAGAGTGGATTTAGTCCCCCACCCAGGGAGACCCCAATCCCCTTGGGGTGGGTCCAATCTCCCCCAGGGTGGGTTTAATCCCCCCCAGGGTGGATTCAATCCCCTCCAGGGTGTGTTTAACCCCCCCTCAGTGTGGATTTAGTCCCCCCCCAGGGAGACCCCAATCCCTTGGGGTACATCCAACACCCCCAGAGTGGATTTAGTCCCCCCTACAGGGACACCCCAATCCCCTTGGGGTGGGTCCAATCTCCCCTAGGGTGTGTTTAACCCCCCCCAGGGTGGATTCAATCCCCCCCAGGTGGGTTTAACCCTCTTGGGGTGGATTTAATCCCCCCCCGGGTGGGTCCAATTCCCCCCAGGGTGGGTTTAACCCCCCCAGTGTGGATTCAATCCCCCTCAGGTGGGTTCAATCCCCCCAGGGTGTGTTTAACCCCCCGCCAGAGTGAATTTAGTCCCCCCTCAGGGAGACCCCAGTCCCCTTGGGGTACATCCAACCCCCCCAGAGTGGATTTAGTCCCCCTCAGGGAGACCCCAATCCCCTGGGGTGGGTCCAATCACCCCCAGGGTGTGTTTAAACCCCCCCAGAGTGGATTTAGTCCCCCCCAGGGAGACCCCAATCCCTTTGGGGTACATCCAACCCCCTCAGAGTGGATTTAGTCCCCCCCAGGGAGACCCCAATCCCTTTGGGGTACATCCAACACCCCCCTCAGGTGTGTTTAACCCCCCCCAGAGTGGATTTAGTCCCCCCCACAGGGACACCCCAATCCCTTTGGGGTGGGTCCAATCTCCCCCAGAGTGGATTTAGTCCCCCCCAGGGAGACCCCAATCCCCTCGGGGTACATCCAACCCCCTCCCCCTTTCCCCCCATGACCTCCACCCTCTCCCCACCCCCTCCCCCGTCACTTCTCGGGGGCTCCTCGAGGGCTCCTCGGGGACGATCTCGACCTCGAGCCGCCCCACGTAGAGGGACAGGGCGGCCGCCCAGAGCAGCGCGAGCAGCGCGGGCAGCGCGGCCGAGGCGGCCGCAGAGGGGGCCGAGAGGAGCAGCGGCCGCCGCAGCAGAGCCAGGCCCAGCACGTAGGAGACCCCCCCGTGGGACACACAGAGCCCCCCCAGCAGGAAAAAACCTGGAATGGGGAGAGAAAAACACCCTGTGAGATACACAGAGCACCCCCAGCAGGAAAAAACCTGGAATGGGGAGAGAACAACTCATCAGACAGCAGGAAAAACCCTGGAATGGGAGAGGGGAGAATATCCCTAAACTAAACTAAACTAAACCAAAGCCAGGCCCAGCACGTAGGAGACCCCCCCGTGGGACACACAGAGCCCCCCCAGCAGGAAAAAACCTGGAATGGGGGAAAAATAACCTGTGAGACAGGAGGGAAAAACCTGGAATAGGGGAAAAACAGCCTGGAATGGGAGAAGAGGGAATATCCCTAAACTAAATGAAACTAAATTAAATTAAATGAAACTAAACTAAACTAAATTAAACTAAACCAAAGCCGGGCTGAGTAGGTAGGACTTAGAGTCGTGTCCCCAGGGGTGTCCCCAGGGGTGGGTGGGTGTCCCCAAGAAGGGTGTCCCCAAGGAGGGTGGGTGTCCCCAAGGGTGTCCCCAAGGTGGGTGGGTGTCCCCAGGGGTGGGTGGGTGTCCCCAAGGGGTGTGTGGGTGTCCCCAAGGTGGGTGGGTGTCCCCAGGGGGTGAGTGGGTGTCCCCAAGGGTGTCCCCAAGGAAGGGGGGGGTCCCCAAGGGTGAGTGGGTGTCCCCAGGGGTGTCCCCAAGGGGTGGGTGGGTGTCCCCAGAGGTGTCCCCAGGGGTGTCCCCAGGGGGTGGGTGTCCCCAGAGGTGTCCCCAGGGATGGGTGGGTGTCCCCACAGGTGTCCCCAAGGCGGGTGGGTGTCCCCAGGGGTGTCCCCAGGGGGTGGGTGTCCCCACAGGTGTCCCCAAGGCGGGTGGGTGTCCCCAGGGGTGTCCCCAGGGATGAGTGGGTGTCCCCACAGGTGTCCCCAAGGCGGGTGGGTGTCCCCAGGGGTGTCCCCAGGGTAGGTGGGTGTTCCCAGGGGTGTCTCCAAAGAAGGTGGGGGTCTCCAAGGGGTGGGTGGGTGTCCCCAGAGGTGTCCCCAGGAGCGGGTGGGTGTCCCCAGGGGTGTCCCCAGGGTAGGTGGGTGTTCCCAGGGGTGTCTCCAAAGAAGGTGGGGGTCTCCAAGGGGTGGGTGGGTGTCCCCAGGGGTGTCCCCAAGGTGGGTGGGTGTCCCCAAGAGTGGGTGGCTGTCCCCACAGGTGTCCCCAAGGGGTGTCCCCAAGGAAGGGGGGGGTCTCCAAGGTGGGTGGGTGCCCCCAAGGGGTGTCCCCAAGGGTGGGTGGGTGTCCCCAAGGTGGATGGGTGTCCCCAGGGGTGTCCCCAGGGTAGGTGGGTGTTCCCAGAGGATCTCCAAGGAAGAGGGGGTCTCCAAGGGTGGGTGGGTGTCCCCACAGGTGCCCCCAAGGTGGGTGGGTGTCCCCAGGAGGGGGTGGGTGTCCCCAAGGGGTGTCCCCAGGGTAGGTGCGTGTCCCCAGGGGTGTCACCAAGGGGTGGGTGGGTGTCCCCAAGGTGGGTGGGTGTCCCCAGGGGTGTCCCCAGGGGGTGTCCCCAAGGTGGGTGGGTGTCCCCAAGGGGTGTCCCTAAGGTGGGTGGGTGTCCCCACAGGTGTCCCCAAGGTGGGTGGGTGTCCCCAGAGGTGTCCCCAGGAGTGGCTGGGTGTCCCCAGGGGTGTCCCCAAGGTGGGTGGGTGTCCCCAGGGGTGAGTGGGTGTCCCCAGGGTGGGTGGGTGTCCCCAAAGGGTGTCCCCAAGGTGGGTGGGTGTCCCCAGGGTGGGGTGTCCCCAAGGTGGTGGGTGTCCCAAGGGTGTCCCCAAGGTGGGTGGGTGTCCCCAAGGTGGAGGGTGTCCCCAGGTGTCCCCAGGGGTGGGTGTCCCCAAGGTGGGTGGGTGTCCCTGCAAGGTGGGTGTCCCCAAGGTGGGTGGGTGTCCCCAAGGTGGGAGGGTGTCCGGGTGTCCCTAAGGAGGGTGGGTGTCCCCAGAGGTGTCCCCAAGGAGGGTGGGTGTCCCCAAAGAGTGTCCCCAAGGGGTGTGTGGGTGTCCTCAGGGGTGAGTGGGTGTCCCCACAAGTGTCCCCAGGGGTGAGTGGGTGGGTGTCCCCAGGGTGGGTGGGTGTCCCCAAGGGGTGTCCCCAGGAGCAGATGGGTGTCCCCAAGGCGGGTGGGTGTCACCAAGGAGTGGGTGGGTGTCCCCAGGGGTGTCCCCAAGGTGGGTGGGTGTCCCCAAGGCGGGTGGGTGTCCTCAAGGGGTGTCCCCAGGGGTGAGTGGGTGTCCCCAGGGGTGGGTGGGTGTCCCCAGAGGTGTCCCCAGGGTAGGTGGGTGTCCCCGGGGGTGTCCCCAAGGTGGGTGGGTGTCCCCAGGGTAGGTGGGTGGCCCCAGAGGTGTCCCCAGGGTGGGTGGGTGTCCCCAGAGGTGGGTGGGTGTCCCCAAGGGGTGTCCCCAGGAGCGGGTGGGTGTCCCCAGGAGTGTCCCCAAGGTGGGTGGGTGTCCCCAAGGGGTGTCCCCAGGGGTGAGTGGGTGTCCCCAGAGTTGACACCAGGGTGGGTGGGTGTCCCCAGGGGTGAGTGGGTGTCCCCAGGAGGTGGGTGGGTGTCCCCACAGGTGTCCCCAAGGGGTGGGTGGGTGTCCCCAGGAGCAGGTGGGTGTCCCCAGGGGTATCCCCAGGAGCAGGTGGGTGTCCCCAAGGTGGGTGGGTGTCCCCAGGGGTGGGTGGGTGTCCCCAGAGGTGTCCCCAAGGTGGGTGGGTGTCCCCAGAGGTGTCCCCAAGGGGTGGGTGGGTGTCCCCAGGGGTGTCCCCAGAGGTGTCCCCAGGAGCAGGTGGGTGTCCCCAGGAGTGGGTGGGTGTCCCCAAGGCGGGTGGGTGTCCCCAAGGTGAGTGGGTGTCCCCAGGGGTGTCCCCAAGGAGGGTGGGTGTCCCCAGAGGTGTCCCCAAAGTGGGTGGGTGTCCCCAGCACCCACCGTAGGCCGCGTCCCTGCCGGTGTCGCTCTGCACGAAGGCGATGACGCCGATGCCGGTGGCCAAGAGCCCGTTCCGGAACCAGGCCAGGAACGCTGAGGGGGGTCAGGGGGCGGTCACAGGGGTGGTCCTTGTCCCCCCACCCCCCCTCCCCGTCCCCTCATTGCCCCCTCCCCAAAATCCCTCACCTCCCTCCAGCGCTTTCCGCAGCAGCGCCGCGTCCGCTCGGTCCAGCTCGGACGGGGCGGGGGCGCGGGGGCGGGGGCCGGCCCAGGCTCAGCCGGGACACCCCGAGCGACCCCCTCCAAACCCGCCCCGAGACCCCCGAAGAGCCGCGACCACCGCGCGGCCCCAGCGGAGCATGGCGGCCTGGCCACGCCCCTTTTCGGGGAGGCCACGCCCCTCATCTGCATAACCACGCCCCCTTAGCGCTCCGCCCATTGAGGAATTGTAGATTGCCACGCCCCCTGTGGGGAAACCACGCCCTCTCAAGAAAGCCACGCCCATCGCATCCCCATTGGTGGAGCCGTCCGTCCATCAGAGCGGTCCCCGCCCCCAGAACTCCAAAAATTCCCCTCTCTCCCCCAAAAAATGACTCAAAATCGGGTTTTTCACGTTAAAACGCCACTTTACTGGGAAAGGGGGAGGGGGAGGGAGGGGAGAGGGCGGGGCACAGCGGGACAGGCCCCGCCCATCCTCGCTGCGGCCCCGCCCCATCGCGCGAGCCACGCCCACTTTCACACCAGGAGGGCGTGGCCTCCGAGAAAAGCCACGCCCCCTCCTCGGGGAGGAGGAGGGGGAGGGGATTTTGGGGTCCTTTCTGGGTCCCTTTTTGGGGGTGACACGAGGAGGGGGTGGTGATTTGGGGGGGAGGGGGAGGAGGAAAAAAACCCCCCCGAAAGGAGGGGAAAAGGCAGCGATTTGGGGCCGTTTCTCCCCCCGGGACCCCTGAGGGACCCCCACCCCGGGACCCCCCGATCAGAGCTCGTCGTCCAGCCCGTCGTCCTCCTCGGGGAAGTCCCCGGGGGTGACGCTCTGGGGTTTCACGAAGGCGCCGTATTTGGGGGGGCACTCGAAGTACCGGCGACCACCCACGCTGGAACGAGGGGAGGGAAATAAGGGTGGGGTTTGGGACCCCAGGACACCACGGGGACCCCAGGGAGAGGGACAGCAATGGGGACCACCCGATACGCCCTGGGGGAGGGGGGACATGGTGAGGGGACAAGGGGTTTCTGGGACCACCCCTTGACATCACAAGGAGGGGACACGGTGGGAGGGGGATTCTGGGGACCCCCAACACCCCCAGGGGAGGGGATATGTGGGGAGGGGGGCTCTGGGGACCACCCTGACGTCACAAGGGGAGGGACATGTGGGAGGGGGCTCTGGGGACCCCCTGACATCACAAGGGGAGGGGACACGGAGGGGGTGGACTCTGGGGACCCCCAACACCCCCAGGGGAGGGGACATGGGGGAGGGAGGCTCTGGGGACCACCCTGACGTCACAGGGAGGGGACAGGGGAGAGGGCTCTGGGACCCCCAACACCCCCAGGAGGGGACATGGAGGGAGGGGGTCTCTGGGGATCCCTGAGACCCCCAGGAGGGGACATGGACCCCCAACACCCCCAGGGGAGGGGACATTGTGGGAGGGGGGCTCTGGGGACCCCCAACACCCCCAGGGGAGGGGACACGGACCCCCAACACCCCCAGGGGAGGGGGCATTGTGGGAGGGGGGCTCTGGGGACCCCTGAGACCCCCAGGGGAGGGGATCCACCCACCCAGAGGAATGGACAACACAGGGACCCCCATCCCAGACCCCCCCTCCTCCCCCAAAGGGAAGGGGACACGGAGGGAGGGGGGCTCTGCAGACCCCTGAGACCCCCAGGGGAGGGGACAGGGGGATGGGGACTCCAGGACCCCCCTCAGTACCTGCCAGTCGTGTTTGCCCAGGGTTCATCAGTAACGAACGCCCACCCAGTGCCCAGGCTTGAAATCCGTCTCACCTGGGGGAGAGAATTGGGGGATTTGGGGAGGGTCAGTGCTGGGAAGGGGATTTGGGGAGGAGTGCTGGGAGGGGGATTTGGGGAGGGTCAGCGCTGGGAGGGGTGATTTGGGGGATTTGGGAGGGGTCAGCACTGAGAGGGGGATTTGGGGGATTTGGGGAGGGTCAGTGCTGGGAGGGGAATTTGGGGGATTTGGGGAGGGTCAGTGCTGGGAGGGAGGGATTTGGGGGGATTTGGGGAGGGGTCAGCACTGTCAGGGGGGATTTCGGGTTTTGGGGTGGGCTCAGTGGTGTCTGGGATGATTTAGGGTTTTGGGGTGGGCTCAGCACTGTCTGGGGGGTTTGGGGAGGCTGGGGGTTAGGGTCAGCACTGTCAGGGGTGATTTAGGGTTTGGGGACACTCTCAGGGGTGTGAGGGGCAGGATTTGGGGCCGTACCCACGTATAGGATGGTGGCCCTGCGGCAGGGCTGCCCTGGCACCCGCACTTGCAGGGGGATTTGGGGTTTGGGGACAGGCTCAGGGGTGTCAGGGGGGTTTGGGGACAGGCTCAGGGGTTTCAGGGGGGTTTGGGGACAGGCTCAGGGGTGTGAGGGGCAGGATTTGGGGTCATACCCACGTATAGGATGGTGGCCCTGCGGCAGGGCTGGCCTGGCACCCGCACCTCGCAGGGGGGATTTGGGGGGGGTGAGCTCAGCACTGTCAGGGGGGTTTGGGGACGGGCTCAGGGGTGTCAGGGGCAAGATTTGGGGCTCAGGGATGGGTCATACCCACGTATAGGATGGTGGCCCTGAGGCAGGGCTGCCCTGGCACCCGCACCCGCAGGGGGATTTGGGGTTTGGGGACAGGCTCAGCGGTGTCAGGGGGGTTTGGGGACAGGCTCAGGGGTGTCAGGGGTAGGATTTGGGGCTCAGGGATGGGTCATACCCACGTATAGGATGGTGGCCCTGCGGAAGGGCTGCCCTGGCACCCGCACCTCGCAGGGGGGATTTGGGGTTTGGGGACGGGCTCAGGGGTGGTTTCAGGAGGGTTTGGGGACGGGCTCAGGGGTGTGAGGGGCAGGATTTGGGGCTCAGGGATGGGTCATACCCACGTATAGGATGGTGGCCCTGCGGCAGGGCTGGCCTGGCACCCGCACCTCACAGGGGGGATTTGGGGTTTGGGGTGAGCTCAGCACTGTCAGGGAGGTTTGGGGACGGGCTCAGGGGTGTCAGGAGGTTTGGGGACAGGCTCAGGGTGTGAGGGCAGGATTTGGGGCTCAGGGATGGGTCATACCCACGTATAGGATGGTGGCCCTGCGGCAGGGCTGCCCTGGCACCCGCACCTCGCAGCGGGCTCCGAGCGGCAGCGCCTCGGCCAGAGCCGCCTCCTCCTCCCGGCGCTGCTGCCGCTCCTGCTCCCGGCGCCGGGAACCCTCCGTGTCCCAGCGGCCCCACGAGCGCTGCCGCAGGAACGAGCGCATCGACTCTGGGGGGACAGGAACAGGGTCAGGGACAGGGGACAGGGACAGTGCAGGGACAGGGTCACCAGGGGGACAGGGACAGGGTCACCAGGGGCACAGAACCCTCCGTGTCCCAACGGCCCCACGAGCGCTGCCGCAGGAACGAGCGCATCGACTCTGGGGGGACAAAAACAGGGTCAGTGCAGGGACAGGGACAGGGTCACCAGGGGGGACAGGGACAGGGTCACCAGGGGGACAGGGACAGGGTCACCAGGGCACAGAGCCCTCCGTGTCCCAGCGGCCCCATGACGCTGCCGCAGGGACAGGCGCATCGACTCTGGGGGGACAGGAACAGGGGACAGGGACAGAGACAGGGACAGGGTCACCAAGGGGGACAGGGACAGGGGACAGGGTCACCAGGGGGACAGGACAGGGTACAGGGACACAGGGAACCCTCGTGTGCAGGCCTGACAGCTGCCGCAGGGGCAGCGCATCGACTCTGGGGGACAGGAACAGGGACAGGGGTCACCAGGGCAGGGGACAGGGACAGGGGACAGGGTCAGGGGCAGGGACAGGGTCCAGGGAGGGACAGGGACAGGGTCAGTGCAGGGACAGGGTCACCAGGGGACAGGGACAGGGGTCAGGGGCACAGGAACCTCAGTGTCCCAGGGACTGGCTGTCACGGCAGGCGAGCGCATCGACTCAGGGGAGGGACAGAGACAGGGTCACCAGGGGGGACAGGGACAGGGACAGGGTCATGCACAGGGGGACAGGGACAGGGTCACCAGGGGGACAGGGACAGGGACAGGGTCACCAGGACAGGGGACAGGGATGGCACCAGGGGCACAGGACCCTCGTGTCCCAGCAGGCCACAGGCTGCCGCAGGAACGAGCGCATCGACTCTGGGGGGACAAAAACAGGGTCACCAGGGGGACAGGGACAGGGGACAGGGTCACCAGGGGGGACAGGGACAGGGTCACCAGGGGGGACAGGGACAGGGTCATCAGGGGACAGGAGTCAGGGTCAGGGACAGAACCCTCCGTGCCCAAGGACAGGCTGCCACGAGGGACTAGGCCGATCAGGGAGGGACAGAGGGGACAGGGACAGGGACAGGGTCAGTGCAGGGACAGGGTCAGTGCAGGGACAGGCTCAGGGCAGGGACAGGGACAGGGACAGGCTCAGTGACAGGGACAGGGGACAGGGTCAGTGCAGGGACAGGGTCAGTGCAGGGACAGGGTCAGTGCAGGGACAGGGACAGGGTCAGTGCAGGGACAGGGACAGGGTCAGTGCAGGGACAGGGACAGGGACAGGGTCAGGGCAGGGACAGGGACAGGGACAGGGTCAGTGCAGGGACAGGGACAGGGACAGGGACAGGGTCAGTGCAGGGACAGGGTCAGTGCAGGGACAGGGACAGGCTCAGTGCAGGGACAGGGACAGGGACAGGCTCAGTGCAGGGACAGGGACAGGGACAGGCTCAGGGCAGGGACAGGGACAGGGGACAGGGTCAGTGCAGGGACAGGGACAGGGTCAGTGCAGGGTCAGTGCAGGGACAGGGACAGGGACAGGGTCAGTGCAGGGACAGGGACAGGGGACAGGGTCAGTGCAGGGACAGGGACAGGGACAGTGCAGGGACAGGGACAGGCTCAGAGCAGGGACAGGGACAGGGACAATGTCAGTGCAGGGACAGGGACAAGGGACAGGGTCAGGGCAGGGATAGGGACAGGGACAGGCTCAGTGCAGGGACAGGGACAGGGTCAGTGCAGGGACAAGGACAGGGGGCAGGTCAGTGTAGGGACAGGGACAGGGACAGGGTCAGTGCAGGGACAGGGACAGGGACAGGCTCGGATAGAGGACAGGACAGGGACAGTGTCAGTGTAGGGACAGGGACAGGGACAGTGTCAGTGCAGGGACAGGGACAGGGTCAGTGCAGGGACAGGGACAGTGTCAGTGCAGGGACAGGGTCAGGGTCACCGCAGGAACGAGCTCACCGACTCTGCGGGGACAGCAAAGGGGTCAGTGCCACCACGGGGGCAGAGGGGACAGTCCCCATGTCACTCGTGTGTCCCCCCATCCTCCCTGTCCCCCCCCTGTCCCTGTCACCTGTCCCTCTTGTCAGTCGCTCTCGGCCATCTCGTACTCTGGGCACCTCGGACAGGTCTCGAACTCCCACGCGGGCCCCGCTGCGGTCGGTCACCTGTGGGGATGGGGGGGCTCTGGAGTCACCCTGGGGGTCCTCCAGGGCTGCAGGGGGTGACAGGGGGGACAAGGGGACGGGGGACGCTCACGTGGATGCGGCAGCCGCCGGTGATGGGGTAGGAGCCCAGCAGGGCCTCGTCCCTGGCGCCAGCGGCCCCAGCGGCTCGTCCTCGGCCCCAAAGAGCTCCAGCTCCATGCACGAGGCAGGGGAGCCCACCACCAGCTCCAGCTTGCACTGGGGGACAGGGGGTCACAGGGAGTCATGGGGGGGTCACAGGGGGTCACACAGGGACAGGGACACAGCCCTGTCACCCCCCAGGCTCGTCCTCGGCCCCAAACAGCTCCAGCTCCATGCACGAGGCAGGGGAACCCACCACCAGCTCCAGCTTGCACTGGGGGACATGACATGGGGGTCACGACAGGGACATGGGGGGTCTGCAGGGTCACCCAGGGACAGGGGGGTCACACAGGGACAGGACACAGCCCTGGGACCCCCAGGCTACGTCCTCGACCCCAAGCCAGCTCCATGCTCGAGGCAGGGGGAACTCCACCACCAGCTCCAGCTTCTGCGCGGGGCCATGGGGGGTCACACAGGGACATGGGGGCACACAGGGACAGGACACAGCCCTGTCACCCCAGGCTCGTCCCTCGGCCCCAAAGAGCTCCAGCTCCATGCACGAGGCAGGGGAGCCCACCACCAGCTCCAGCTTGCACTGGGGGGGACATGGGGGAGGGGTCAGGGGCCACACAGGACATGGGGTCACAGGGGTCACCCAGGGACAGGGGGTCACACAGGGTCACACAGGGTCACCCAGGGATAGGGACACAGCCCTGTCACCCCCAGGCTCGTCCTCGGCCCCAAAGAGCTCCAGCTCCATGCACGAGGCAGGGGAGCCCACCACCAGCTCCAGCTTGCACTGGGGGGGACATGGGGGGGGAGTCAGAGGGGTCACCGCAGGGACATGGAGGGGTCACAGGGGTCACCCAGGGACATGAAGGGGTCTACAGGACATGGGGGTCACAGGGGTCAGCACAGGGACAGGGGGCTCACACAGGGGGTCACACAGGGACATGAAGGGGTCACAGGGGTCATGGGGGGTCTAGGGGTCATGGGGGTCACAGGGGGTCACCCAGGGACAGGGGGCTCACACAGGGGGGTCACACAGGGACATGGGGGGATCACAGAGGGTCATACAGAGATGGGTGGAGGGGTCCTTGTTGGGGGTCCCTGGTCGAGGGTTCCTTGGTTGGGTTTTGGGGGTCCCAGGTTGGGGTTCCCACTTGAGAGGTCCCTGGGCAGTGCCTTGGGGTCCCAGGTTGGGGTTCCCACTCAGGGGTCCCATTTGAGTGGGGTCCCTGGGCAGGGCTTTGGGGTCCCAGGCTGGGGATTCCAGCTGAGGGTCCGTCCCATTTGAGGGTCCTGCTGGGGGCCCCAGTTCGGCTTTAGGGGTCCCAGGTTGGAGGTCCCAGTTGAGGGTCCCAGCCCCAGTTGGGGGTCCTGGTTCAGAGTTCAGGGTCTCACTTGGGGGTCCAGCCCCAGCTGGGGTCCTAGTTCGAGTTCAGGGGTCCCACTTGGGGGTCCAGCCCAGTTTAGGGGTCCCAGTCTAAAGGGGGTCCTGGTCTAGGAGGGTCCCAGTTGTGGGGGTTCCAGCCCCAAGTTGGGGGTCCCGGTCTGGGGAGGGGTCCCGGTCTGGGGAGGGGTCCCGGTCTGGGGAGGGGTCCCGGTTGGGGGGGTCCCGGTTCGATACCTTGAGCTCGGCGATGGTGAGCGCAGGCGAGAAGCGCTTGCAGGCTCGGAAGGCGTTCAGGGAGCTGCTCACCGACAGCCACACGGGGCCCGGCAGGGCCCTCGCCCTCGTTCATCGCCCTGTTCATCGCCCCCCCTCCCTGCGACCCCCAAACCGGGACCCCCCCCCTAAACCAACCCAACCCCGCCCCGGGACCCGCCGGGCCCCCCAACCGGGACCCGCCGGGCCCACGGAGCGCCCCGAGCAGGGACCCTGCCGAGCCGGGACCCCCAAAAGCGGCCTCTGGGACCCCAAAAACGGCCCCGAGAGCCCCAAAAACGACCCCGGGACCCTCCGGGACCCCCGAACGGCCGCCGCTTCTGGAACCTTCAGGCCCCGCCGCCGAACCAATCAGCGGCGCCGCCGCGCCCCACGTGGGGCCGGCGGACCAATAGCGAGCCAGAGAGGGCGGGTTTAGAGGGGGGACGGACCAATGGGACGAGAGGGAAGGGCGTGGCACGTGGTCACGTGGGGGGCGGTCACGTGGCCGCAATGGAGGCGGACGGGGGTTACGAGCCGGGATTCGTCGGGATCCGGTTCTGCCAGGAATGGTGAGGGAATACCGGGAATAACGGGAATAGCGGCGGGAACACCGGGAATCACGGCGGGCTCGGACAGGGATGCTCCGCCCGGCGGTTCCTCGGGGTCCGGGTGGGCCGGGAGCGGTGGGGAAAAGCGGGAATAACGGCGGGAATTGCGGCGGGAAAACCGGGAATTGCGGAGGGAAAACCGGGAATTGCGGCGGGAATTACGGCGGGGACGGACAGGGATGCTCCGCCCGGGGCTTCCTGGGGATCCGGGGGTGCGGGCGGGAATAATGAAGAACACCGGGAAGATCGGGAATTGCAGCGGGAAAACCGGGAATTACAGCGGGAATAACGGGAATTACAGCGGGAATAACGGGAATTACAGCAGGACATACTGGAAATACAGTGGGAATACACTGGGAATACAGTGGGAATGCACTGGGAATATACTGGGAATACACCGGGAATGCCCCAGTCCCTTCCCAGAGCTCCCAGTTTTCCCCCAGTAACTCCCAGTTTCCCCCAGTAACAACATGCTGTACCCCAAGGAGGACAAGGAGAACCGGATCCTTCTCTACGCTGTGAGTGACCCCAACTGGGACCAGTAACACCCCCAAACTGGGACCAGTAACACCCCCCAACTGGGACCAATAACCCTCCCAAACTGGGACCAGTAACACCTCCAAACTGGGACCAGTAACCCCCAAACTGGGACCGGTAACCCCCCAAACTGGGACCGGTAATCCCCCCCCAAACTGGGATCAGTGATCCCCCCAAACTGAGACCAGTAACACCTCCAAACTGGGACCAGTAACCCCCCCAAACTGGGACCAATAACCCTCCCAAACTGGGACCAGTAATCCCCCCAAACTGGGACCAGTAACACCCCAAACTGGGACCGGTAACACCCCCAAACTGGGACCAGTTATGGGGCACTGGTCGCAATCCCAGTCCCTCCCAGTTTGACACTGGTCCCAGTCCCTCCCAGATGGCTCCCAGTTTACACCAGCTCCAGTCCCTCCCGGTTGATCCCCAGTTGCTCCCAGTTCCACCCAGTCCCTAGTAGTCTCTCCCAGTCTCTCCCAGTCCCTCCCAGTCCCTCCTAGTCCTTCCCAGTCCCTCCCAGTCTCTCCCAGTCCCTCCCAGTGGCTCCCAGTTGACCCCCAGTCCCCCCCAGTGCCGGAACTGCGATTACCAGCAGGAGGCCGACAACAGCTGCATCTACGTCAACAAAATCACCCACGAAGTGGAGTCGGTGACCCCCCCTGGGACCCCCAACATCTGGGACCTCCTGGGACCCCCAAGCACCTGGGACCCCCAGGACCCCCCAAACACCTGGGACCCCCAACACCTGGGACCCCCAGGACCCCCAAACACCTGGGACCCCCCAACACCTGGGACCCCCAAACACCTGGGACCCCTTGGGACCCCCAACACCTGGGACCCCCGGCAACCCCAAATGCTGGGACCCCCCAAACACCTAGGACCCTCCTGGGACCCCCAAATATTAGGACCCTCCCCAAATACCTGGGACCCCCTAAATACCTGGGACCCGCACGGGACTCCTCCAAACAACTGGGACCCCCAATACCTGGGACCCCCAAATACCAGGAACCCCCTGGGACCCCCTCAAATACTGGAACCCCTCAAATAGCTGGGACCCTTCCCAATTCCTGGGACTCCCCCAAATAGCTGGGACCCCTCCCAGTTCCGGGACCCCCAAATAACTGGGACCCCTCCCCAATTCCTGGGACCCCCCCCAAATAGCTGGGACCCCTCCCCAGTTCCTGGGACCCCCCAAACACCCGGGGTGTCCCCGCAGTGAACTCACCCAGATCATCGCTGACGTCTCCCAGGACCCGACCCTGCCCCGGACCGAGGACCACCCGTGCCAGAAGTGAGACCCCCACCCCCTCCTCCCCAATTTGGGGACCCCCTGGGGACATCAGACCCCTCCCCATGGGGGGACACCAGACCCCTCCCCATGGGGGACATCAGACCCCTCCCCATGGGGGGACACCAGACCCCTCCCCATGGGGACATCAGACCCCCCCCTCCATGGGGGGACATCAGACCCCTTCTCAGGGGGACATCAGACCCTTCCCCATGGGGGGACATCAGACCCCTCCCCAGGGGACATCAGACCCCCTCCCCAGGGAGCACCGTCAGACCCCTCCCATGGGGACAACATCAACCTCGGGGACACCAGACCTCAGGGACATCCCACCTCCCCCATTGTCCTTCTGGGGTCCCCCGTGTCACCCCCCCAGCTCTGAGGTCCCCCCTGATGTCCCAATGTCCGATACCCTGTGGGTGTCCTCAATGTCCTATGTGTCCCCTGTGTCCCCATGCCTGATGTCCCCATCCGATGTCCCCATGCCCTGATGTCCCCCATGTCCCCCTGACTCCTCATGTCCCCCCTTGTCGGTGTCCTCAATGCACTGTCCAGTGTCCCAATGTCGATCTTCCCCATGTCCCTGATCCCCCACATGTCCCGTCCCCACCTGATGTCCCCCATGCCCCTGATGTCCCCCATGTCCCGATGTCCCTGATATCCTGATGTCCCCCAGTGTCCCCTGACCCCATGTCCCCTGATGTCCCCTGACCCCCGTGTCATCCTGATGTCCCCATATCTGACCCCTGTGTCCCCATGCCCTGATGCCCCCACATCCTGATGTCCCCGTGTCCCCCCCATGCCTGATGTCCCCATGCCCCATGTCCGTATCGTCCCCCGTATGTCCCCACGATGTCCTCCACGTCCCCTGATCCCCCCGTGTCCCCCCAGGTGTGGGCACAAAGGGCCGTTTTCTTCCAGTCCCACAGCGCCCGGGCCGAGGTCGGTGGACACTTTTTGGGATGGGGGGCTGAGGGACCCCTGGGACCCCCAAACCCCCTGTGCTCCCCCAAACCCCTGTGCCCCCAGGACGCCATGAGGCTCTACTACGTGTGCACGGCCCCGCACTGCGGCCACCGCTGGACAGAGTGACCCCCCCTGGCATGGGGACAACCTGGACACCCCAAAACCTGACCCCCTGATGGCCCCTGGACACCCCAAAACCTGCCCTGGACACCCCAAAACCTGCCCTGGACACCCCAAAACCTGGCCTGGACACCCTAAAACCTGACCCCCTGATGGCCCTTGGACCCCCTCCTAGGACCCCCAAAACCTGACCCCCTGATGGCCCCTGGACACCCAAAACCTACCTGGACACCCCAAAGCCTGACCCCTGGTGGCCCTGGACACCCCAAAACCTGAGCCCCTGATGGCCCCTGGACACCCCAAAACCTGCCCTGGACACCCCAAAACCTGACCCCTTGATGGCCCCTGGACCCCTCCAAAGCCCCTGGACACCCCAAAAGCCTGACCCTGACAGCTCCTGGACCCCAGACCCCAAATGCTCCAGCCTAAGAGGCCTCCTGGACCAAAGCTCCTGGACCCCCCTGGACACCCAACCTGACCCACAAGCCTCTGGCTCCTGGACCCTCCCTGGACACCCCAAAATGACCCCAAAACCTGACCCTGAGAGCTCCTGGACCCCCCAGACCCCAAAACGGCCCCTGAGAGTTCTTGGAATCCCCCAGACCCCAAAACGGCCCCTGAGAATTCCTGGACCCCCCAGACCCCCCAAAACGACCCCAAAATGGCCCCAAAAGAAACGATTTTATTCCTATGAATCCAAAAATTCGGGGAGGGGATTAAATAAGACAAAGGAGTGGGGTTGTAAAAAAAAACAACACAAAGGGGTGTTTTGGGGTCACCCCACCCCCCTCCCATATTTGGGAGGGTTTAGTAGGGAGTTTCCCTCCCTTCCCTCCCCACACCCCAAAACCGGCGAGAAAGGTGGAAAATGGGGGTAAAACGGTGCCATTTATACAAATATAGTGTTTTTATAAAGAGTTTTTGGGGTTGAGGGGAGGGGTTTTGAGGTCGGGGAGGGGTTTTTGGGGTCAGGGAGGGGGTTTTGGGGTCGTGGGAGGGGTTTTGAGGTCGTGGGAGGGGTTTTAGGGTCGCAGGGTGGGGAGGAGGTTTTCCCCCCTTCCTGGGCCGCTCGTTTAGAAAATAATTTATTGGGGTTTTTTTTTGGGGGGAAAGGGGTAAAAGTGCCTTTTTTTTGTGGTGGTTTTTCAGTTTTTGTCCCGTGCCTGGAAGATCCTTATTATTAATAATTAATTATTTGGCGTTAATTATTATTATTATTAATTATTATTAAGTTGGTTGGACCTCCAGAAATTTGGGGAGGGTTAGAAGGGGAGGGGTTGTGGGAAAGGGTGAACCCCAAACCCCCTTATTGCCTTTGTGGTTCCACCCCCACCCCAAAAAATTCCAGCTGCTCCTGGGGGGGGGAGGGGAGGGTTTGGGATCCATCAGGGAGGGGCTGGGACCTCCAGGGGACCCCTGGGATCCATGGGGGGGGGCTGGGCCCTATAAAGTCCCCTTGGCCCCATAGAGGAGGTCCTGGGCCCTACAGACCCCCTCAGCCCTATAGGGACTGTCCCTGGCCCCATAGGAACCCTTTAGCCCCATAGGGACCATTTGACCCC